TTCAGATTTTCGATTTGCAATTTTTTATTTGGGTTTTTTATTTTTTAATTTTTATAATTTTTTAATTTTTTAGTTTTTGAATTTATAATTTTTTGTTTTTTTGATTTCGCCACTCAAATTTTCATTTCTTCAATTTTTCGATTTGTAATTTTAAACGTCGGCTTTTATTTTCTCTATTTTTTCAATTTTTGGATTTTTCAACTTTCAGAATTTTTAATTTTTCGTTTTTTCAATTTTAGATTTTTCAGCTTTTCGTTTCTTCAACTTTTGGTTTGCAATTTTTTTAGTTTTCGTTGTAAATATGTAATAATAATTATAATTTTTAAAATTTTTCTTTTTTTTAATTTTACGATTTTAGAATTTTTCCATTTATCAATTATTAGATTTCAAAAAGTTTTTTGGTTTTAGCCAATTTCTTTAGCTAGTACCTGGTAAGATAAAACTGATTTTGGCAAATCACATACCTTCTAAGAAACGAGAGGACGGGTGGGCGGGGCTAGTACTTGGTAAGATAAGACTGATTTTGGCAAATGCCATACCCTCTGAGAAAATAATAATTTCGCTGAGACTCTTTCCTGCACTCTTCAATCATTATAAAGCCGAGACAAATTAATGTAGAACGCGAGCGTAGCGAGCACGTTCAGGTGTAATTAAAAAAAATATATACATTGCTGTCTCCGAGAAGCTAAATTATTAAGAACAATTTCGTTGTTTAAAGATTGTTTGTGATCTGTGGGACTGAAACATTCAGAAAGTGCTCGCTACGCTCGCCTTTTAGAAGTTGGTTTGTTTTAGAATGATTTATCTCCATAGAGAAATCTCGAGAAAGATCATAATTACAACTTAAGTATCTTTAATGACCGTTCATTCGCAAATCATTTTATGACACTAAATTAATAATAATAAAAAAAAATGGTTGAAAACTGTTTAGACAGAACTTCCCTCGCACCTAAAGTACAGTCAAACATATTCAACATTTTTGAGTCGAGTTTTTACTTTTGCAATTTAACACTTTTAGTTTTATCAAGTTTGTACAAGATTAATTGAGGCAAAATCAGTTTTATCGTAACAAATACTAGGCCCGCCCACCCGCCCCCTATTTTCCCAAAGAATGTCATTTGCCGAAATAAATCTTATCTTACAAAGTACTAGCCCCGCCCACCCACCCGTTACTTTCTGAGGATCTGTCATTTGCCAAAATCAGTTTATCTTACCCAGTACTAGCCCCGCCCACCCGCCCCCTCTTTTCTCAGAGGCTATGTCATTTGCCAAAATAAGACTTACGTTAGCAAGTGCTAGCCCTGGCCACCCGCCCTTTATTTTCTCAGAGGGTAGTACTTGGTAACTTGATTTGTTTTAGAATGATTTATCTCCATAGAGAAATCTCGAGAAAGATCATAATTACAACTGAAGTATCTTTAATGACCGTTCATTCGTAAATCATTTTATGACACTAAATTAATAATAATAAAAAAAATGGTTGAAAGCTGTTGTGACAGAACTTCCCTCGCACTTAAAGTACAGTCAAACATATTCAGCATTTTTAAGTTGAGTTTTACTTTTGCAATTTAACACTTTTTATTTTCACAAGTTTCTACAAAAATCAGTTTATCTTACCAAGTACTAGCCCCGCCCACCCGCCCCCTATTTTCTCAGAGGATTTACGTTATCAAGTACTAGCTCCGCCCACCCGCCCTTTACTTTCTCAGAGGGTAGTATTTGCTAAGATAAGTCTTATTTTGGCAAATTACATATCCTCAGAGTAAATAGGGGCAGGTGGGCGGGACTAGTGCTTGCTCAGTTAAGACTGATTTTGGCAAATGAAATACCCTCTAAGAAAAGAGAGGGTGGGTGGGCGGGGCTAGTACCTGGTAAGATAAAACTGATTTTGGCAAATCACATACCTTCTATGAAACGAGGGGGCGGGTGGGCGGGGCTAGTACTTGGTAAAATAAGACTGATTTTGGCAAATGCCATATCCTCTGAGAAAATAATAATTTCGCTGAGACTCTTTCCTGCACTCTTCAATCATTATAAAGCCGAGAAAAATTAATGTAGAACGCGAGCGCAGCAAGCACGTTCAGGTGGAATTAAAAAAGATATACATTGCTGTCTCCGAGAAGCTAAATTATTAAGAACAATTTTGTTGTTTAAAGATTGTTTGTGATCTGTGGGACTGAAACATTCTGAAAGTGCTCGCTACGCTCGCCTATTAGAAGTTGATTTGTTTTAGAATGATTTATCTCCATAGAGAAATCTCGAGAAAGATCATAATTACAACTTAAGTATCTTTAATGACCGTTCATTTGTAAATCATTTTATGATACTAAATTAATAATAAAAAAAAAATGGTTGAAAGCTGTTTCGACAGAACTTCCCTCGCACCTAAAGTACAGTCAAACATATTCAGCATTTTTAAGTTGAGTTTTTACTTTTGCAATTTAACACCTTTAATTTTCACAAGTTTCTACAAGATTAATTGACGCAAAATTAGTTTTATCGTAACAAATACTAGGCCCGCCCACAGCCCTCTATTTTCCCAGAGAATGTCATTTGCCGAAATAAATCTTATCTTAACAAATACTAGCACCGCCCACCCACCCGTTACTTTCTGAGGATCTGTCATTTGCCAAAATCAGTTTATCTTACCAAGTACTAGCCCCGCCCACCCGCCCCCTCTTTTCTCAGAGGATGTCATTTGCCAAAATAAGATTTACGTTAGTAAGTGCTAGCCCCGCCCACCCGCCCTTTATTTTCTCAGAGGGTAGTACTTGCTAAGATAAGTCTTATTTTGGAAAATTACGTATCTTCTGTGAAAATAGGGGCAGGTGGGCAGGGCTAGTGCTTGCTCAGATAAGACTGATTTTGGCAAATGAAATATTCTCTAAGGAAAGAGAGGGTGGGTGGGCGGGGCTAGTTCCTGGTAAGATAAAACTGATTTTGGCAAATCACATACCGTCTAAGAAACGAGAGGGCGGGTGGGTGGGGCTAGTCCTTAGTAAGATAAGACTGATTTTGGCAAATGCCATACCCTCTGAGAAAATAATAATTTCGCTGAGACTCTTTCCTGCACTATTCAATCATTATATAGCCGAGAAAAATTAATGTAGAACGCGAGCGCAGCGAGCACGTTCAGGTGTAATTAAAAAAATATATACATTGCAGTCTCCGAGAAGCTAAATTATTAAGAACAATTTTGTTGTTTAAAGATTGTTTGTGATCTGTGGGACTGAAACATTCTGAAAGTGCTCGCTACGCTCGCCTTTTAGAAGTTGGTTTGTTTTAGAATGATTTATCTCCATAGAGAAATCTCGAGAAAGATCATAATTACAACTTAAGTATCTTTAATGGCCGTTCATTTGTAAATCATTTTATTAACTAAATTTAACACCTTTAATTTATCAAGTTTTCACAAGATTAATTGAGGCAAAATCAGTTTTATCGTAACAAATACTAGGCCCGCCCACCCGCCCCCTACTTTCCTAGAGAATGTCATTTGCCGAAATAAATCTTATCTTAACAAGTACTAGCCCCGCCCACCCACCCGTTACTTCCTGAGGATCTGTCATTTGCCAAAATCAGTTTATCTTACCAAGTACTAGCCCCGCCCACCCGCCCCCTCTTTTCTCAGAGGATATGTCATTTGCGAAAATAAGACTTATGTTAGCAAGTGCTAGCCCCGCTTTATTTTCTCAGAGGATAGTATTTGCTAAGATAAGACTGATTTTGGTAGATGCCATACCTCTGAGAAAATAGAGGGTGGGTGGGCGGGGCTAGTACTTGCTAAGATAAGACTAATTTTGCTCCTATTCAACTTCTAAAAAAACTTAGACAGCTTCACGCATATTATTTCTGAATCACTTCTGTAATACTAAATTGTAAAAAAACGATTCGAATGCGAGCGCAGCGAGCACGTTCAGGTGTTATTAAAAATAATTCACCGCTGTCCCGGAGAAGCTAAATTATTAACAAAAACAATTATTAATTGTCTACCAAAAATAATCACTAGAGTTGGGAAGACCAGAACGTGCTCGCTGCGCTCGTCTTCCAGAGTGTGTTTTTTTTTTAAGTCTGGAGATTTATTCTTACAATAGAGCCCAAACAGTTTCGCAGAGACTCTTTTCTGCGCTCTTCAATGATAACGCCGAAAACAAAACAACTCAGAATGCGAGCGCCGCGAGCACGTTCGGGTGTAACTAAAAAAATATATAATTATTGGTGTCTCCGAGAAGCTAAATTATTAAGAACAATTCTGTTGTTTAGAGATTGTTTATAATTACAAATGTCTGTGGGAGTAAATTGTTAATAAGAGAATTTTGAAAATGTTTGTGGATTCCAAATTTTATTACTAGTTATTGTGATAATGAATGTGTCGTTTAGTTCTTAAACGTAGCTAAAGATCCAATTTAAAAATCAGTACAACTCCACCAAAATATGAGAAGGATTTTTTTACTATTTTTCTCAGACTCGCCAATTGATTTTTAAGAGCGACATCCGGTATATGAAAATCAATATCAAATAAACAAAATAAGCAAACTACTCCCTAAATACATCTATGTGATATCCACTATTCATGAACAGAGGGCAGTGTAAAACTTAACCTCAAACCTTACCGGAAGAAATTAACAATTTTAATTGCTAAGCTGTGCAGATGTGTTTTTCTGCACAATTTGGAAATTATACAACGAACTTCGTTGTTGTAATTTAATTTTTTGGGATATTATAGACAATGATGTCGGAATAAATGAGAGATGGACAATCCATAGAGTTTATAACCGTAGAGGGGATCATTCGAAAACGTTTAACACAAGATAGCCTAATTATCATCGTTGTTCTTCTGTCTACCAAGTACCTATACATTTTGCTCAAAAATCCACGTTAGTTAAAAAATTGATCGCCTTCTGGTTCCGTTTACCACTTTCCCAACGCAACTTAAATGCCACTTCAATACATACCTATTTCCTCGCCAGACCGAGTTTGACCCTCTCTCTTTGTTGCAGTTGGAATCAAGCAGGTGTAACCTGCAGGTCATGGATGTTACCTTCACAAACGTGTTGGAGGGGGCGCGTCAGTATTTCCAGGGCCTGCCCGCGGCGACGAGCTCCACGTCGGCGGGCCCCGCGTACTCGAATAACCCGTCTGAGGGCGGTCTGCACCGCGAGCCCGAGCACCAGCCCGAGCTGCCACCGTCGTCCGGCGCCTACTGGCCCCCGCAGGAGGCCAGCCGACCCCCCACGCGCGAGCAGACCCCCATCCAGAGGCCGCCGTCGCTCCAGTCGGACACCTCCCGCCCGCCGTCGCACTCCCAGTTGGCCAACCACTACCAGTACCAGGAGCAAGGCCAGTTCCAGTTCCCCCGGCCGCACTCGCGCGAAGCCCCCTCCAACCAGTACCAGCAGCAGTACCAACAGCGGGTGACCCCGCCCACGTCCCAGTACCACCAGTTACAAAATGTCGGCTACTACCAGCAGCAGCAGAAGTCGTACTACCAGATGCAGGGGAAGGTCGCCAACACGGGGTACAAGGCGCCGGCGAGTCAGGCGCAGGAGAACCCCTACTACAAGCACCTGTACACCTCGCACGCGCAGACCGGGGGACAAGTACAAGTACAATACGCCGCCCAGAAAGTGGAGGGGAAGCAAGAGGGGGTCAATCAGATGCAGGGGACGTCGCAAGGGGGGTACCGGGCGACGCACAACCTCCCCCCGATCGCGTCGCTAGCCCACATCAGTTACCATTCCAATCGGGGCGGCAGGGACTTGGTGCGCACTGCCGTCCCCAAAACGAAGACGGCCCCCACGAACTCCACGAGCCAAGCGGCGCCCAAGCCGGTCAGCGCTTCCACGACGCAACAGTACCACCAGTACCAACAATACGCGGCCAACCAGAGGCTTCCCATGAGTCAGAACTACCAGTACGGCACGACCACCACGCAAAACTACACGCAAGTCATCATGACCACTTCCAACTCCACGAGTTACGCGGCTCCAGTGCAGTCTTCCTCGCAGTACTACCAAAAAGCGCCGACCCAAAATAGCCAGAATAGTCACAACAGTCAGAATCAGAATAGTCAGAGTAGTCAGAGTAGTCAGAATGTGAATGGGAGAATCGCACCGGTGGTCAAGCAGAAGCGCGAATCCCCTCTAGACTTGTCGGTGAAGACTGTCCGGACTCCAGCGGACTCCACGCTGGATGATGAAGACCGCAAGTTCTACACGAATCGAACTGCGGTCAACTACCCCACGTACGACGTCTACGCGAACTCGTTCCAGAGGACGGCGGCGAATCGCCAACAGGTGCCGACGGCGACCGCCCCCAAAATGGACTTTCACCCGAATTTTAACGTAACCTCGCTGAATCAAACCATGAACTATAACAGACGGCCGGTGAGTGTGGCGGAGAAGCAGACGGCCAATACCCAGAGGGTTAACTACGGGAGTACGAATCGGTACCCGACGGTCTCGGTACCGACGGCCGCCCACGTCAATTCTTACATACAAGGGTCCCCGCAGAAGCGCGAGAACCTACCACGGGTGGACTTCTCGCCGCAGAAGTCCCTCAACATGTACCAGATGCCCGAGCAGAAGAAACGTCCCGCAGACACAGCACCATCCATCATCCCGAATAAAATGACCAAAGTAGACGTATGGAAGCAACGAATGGATCAACAAATCGAACAAAGAATCAATTCGTACCAGCAACAACAAGCGAAGAAGGCGCTGGTAAATGGGAACTATAGCACGCCGCAGCCGGTCGCACAAGAGCGACCCAAGGAGGTCTACAACGCATATCAAAACAGACAGTACCAACAATACCCGCAGTACCACAACCAAACCTACGTACCATCCGCAAGCGTCCACCAGTACCCGGGGTACCAATACCCCTCGCAACAACAACAACAACAACAACAACAACAGAACTATAACCTACCCCGAACAAACTCCAATTCGTCCATTGCCGCCCCCAGAAACAACATCGGCGGCGCTGATAAGCGCGTGCTCTCCTTGTTGCGCAACAGTCTAGAAATCAAAGGGGCCAAAGAAGCCCAGAAGAAGCTAGAACAAGAACAAATGAATCGGTCGTACGAAAAACACCCCTCCACTGACGTCACGGCTCCGTTGCAACCCAAACCCGGCTTTATTAACCGTCACAACGTGTCCCCTTTCACTCCCACCAATCTCCCCGACAACAACAACATGTACAAACTCCACATCCCCAAAGCTATCGACTCAGTTAACTTCGAATCGGAGTCCGGGAAACTCACGGAGAAGCTCGAGGACAGTCAAGCGATGATCAGCAACCACGTTAACCCCAACGGGGACTTGGACGGTCTGGCCGCTTTGGTAGCGGCTCGGATCCGCACCAAAGCCGAGTTGAAACAAGTCAGCGACAAAATCGAAGGCAACCCTCCCAAACTATGTAAAGAAAAACAAGCATTTCCACCCCGGAGACGACTCTTCAGTCGGAACGAGGAAGACGGAGGGTCGAACGTCCCTTTGCGGGACAAAACCGGGCTGAGGAGCTCATCCGAGACGTCGGTTTTTGATTTCCCGGATAGCGACTCCGAGGGGGAGATGCCTGTTTTGGAACGACAGACTCTGGAAGACATGAGGAGGGACAGGCGGAGTTCCACGAAACCCACCGAGGTTAAAATGGAGTCGCCACGATCCAGCAGTCCTGATGACGCCTTCACCCAAGCGTGCGACAGCTTCGTGGAGCAGCTGAAGAACGGAAGCGGCAAGAAGCGCGGACGGAGGAAAAAGCTGGAGCCCGACGTGTTGGCCAAGCTGGAAAGCGTAACCAAGGAGAGACCTATTGATGTAACTATTAAGACCGAAGCACCGGCTAAGAGTGAAGTCGAAGACGAAGACTCAGATGTGCCGTTGAGTACGTGCATGAAAGTGGAGAGTCCCGTCATGGTGACCAAACAACTAAGCGTGTCTTTGACGGATATCAGTCAGCTGAAGGTGAAGGAGGAGCGGGGTAGTTTGAAGGAAGTGTCGTTGACGGTACCGCGGCCCGCTCGCAAACCGGCCTTCGGAGACGGCTCCCACTTCTACCCCGGGTGGGAGGAGGAGGTCTACAAGTACAAGAAGAGTCTGAGGATGCCGGCGCCCCTCATCCACGTAACCCGACCGCCACAATACCACCGCCTATCCACCTCTTTACCCGACTTAGACCCTTGCCCTAACTCCCCCGTCGCCGACGACCACCCCAAAAACAAAACGAAGATCAAAAGCGAGAATATCGACAGCGACAATGAATCAAACCACAGTTTTAACATATTCAGTAAGCACAACTACGACTCTGAGGGTAGTTCGTCAATCAAAAGTCTCCCGAATACCACGAAGGAGAGCAACTCGATTCTGGATAGATTGTTGGAGCGGTACGGGGCGCGGAAGAAGCGGAAGCACAAACGAAAAGAAGACAGTCCGAAGGTGACCCCCAAGAACGACAAAGTCGAACTATTACCCACTCCGGGGTTCGAGCGCGAAGACACCGCCAAGAGCAACCCCGAGTTCCGGAAGAAGACCATCGAGAGTTTCAAGGAAGTCTTCTTGAAGAAGAGTCGCAAGCTGGTGAAACAGAAAGTCAGTATTAAGGAAGTCTTCGGAGAGGAGCGCCCGGCATCCGCGCCTCCCGTGACCTGTGTCAACAATATCAAAATCAAAGAAGAACCAGGGGACGAAATCACTCTGAGCACGCTAATCAAAAAAGAAGACGACAATAGCGACTTCGACACGCGACAAATGCTGAAGAATAAGTTGTTGAGTCGCGGGCGGAAGGAGAACCTTTTGAAGACGCTCGTGGATAAGAAAATCAAATCGGAGCTCCGCGATGACGACGACGACGACGACCCCGAGCAGGATAGTAAGTCGGAGACGCCGTCCATCGACGGAGACGAAGGAAGTCTATCAGGGAAGAAACGTAGCAAATTTAGAAACATAAGACGTAAATTTAGTTCAGGGTTTGACTACATACGTAAGAAGAAGAAGCAGAAGAAGGATCAAGACGACCCAAGTAAACCCAAAAAAGGTGGAAAGTTCACGTCGAAGAGCAACCCGGGGTCGGTTCAAGACATCCAGAAGGAGATCAAAGGCTGGGTTTTGAACAAAGGGATCGGGGAGACCATCTTGCATCGAGCGGCCCGACTGGGATACACGGTAGGTGCGAAAATCGATCACAAATTTCGACTAAGTCGGACGTTTCAGGACATTACGGCTTACTGTCTGGAGAAGATGGAGTGCTCGCCCTCCCCTAAAGACAACGCCGGGTACACACCCTTACACGAAGCCAGTACTAAAGGCAACTTGGCTATAGCGAAGATGCTCCTCATGTATGGAGCCAACGTGAGCGAGTCAGCCCGAGGCGGCATCAGGTAAACCTACATTTCGGTATTCTCGTGACTGCTTACACCTGCGTTGGTTTTACAGACCTCTGCACGAAGCAGTCGAGAACGGCTACGTCGAGATCGTGCGCTTGTTGCTGTCGTACGGCGCCGACCCCATGCTGGCCACCTACTCGGGGAACACCCCGCTGTCACTCTGCGCCGACGACACCACCACCAAGCTTCTCCAAAACCACATTAACGACGTCGAGGGTCAGCCGGGGTCGCCGTGGCAGTTCGCAGGACCCGCTTCCTGCTTCGGTAAGTCCGATTCGAGCTATTACAGTCGCCCCCGTTCACCGTTTTTCGTTACAGATTTGCAAGAAACGGGCTTCGACGTACTGGAGGACGATCCCACGGCCGATCCACTCTCCGAAGAAGAGGACCTGGAGTTCGAGGTGTCGGAAAGCGTGCTGCCGAATCTGTACACCCTCCGGGGGGAGGCGCAGAGCGACAGGTGGATTCTGTTGCAGGATTTGTCGAGTATGCTGAAGATTAAGTCGAGGGACGCGTTGTTGAGGCAGATATGTCCGACGACGAGTAGTTCGAGTGTGAGTCATAAGAGTGTGTTGAGGGAACTGAAGATGTCGGACTTTTTGGAGCAAGCGCACTGCTGCCAGTTCTTGAATATCGGTGAAAAGATTAATACGCGTGCTTCGAAGATCGCCTTGGTTAAGTATACGGACAAAGTGAGGGAACTGTTGAATGTTGAAAAAGTAACGATTTCGGTTAGGTGACCTACGGAGGAAGACACCTAAATCTTTTCCGTGATATTGTATTGTTTGTGATTAAAGAAATACCTGTTTTTGATTATTTTTTTTGTGTAATATTTTGGTGCTTTCTAGCATTAATGACTTAATTTTTCTTGATAGGAAATAAACGAGTTCTTTATTATTGAGTATATTAATGTTTTTTTAGTTATCGTATTTATTGTATAGAAAGAATTTTAATTGAATTAGTGAATAGGTTACCAGCTTTTTTAGATAATTTTACAACTTATAGGCTATGGACATATGTTTTTTTCAATAAATCATCGTAATGAGAGTGTGCAATTCCTTTTGTATTTGTCAAGTAACTAGCTTTGGATGTGTGATCTTGTAAAATAAATAAATTTGTATACTAGAAAATTATTTTATACAAAAAAATGATACTCACAGTAAATAAGTATTGTAAGATAATCGTTATCGTTGAGCTCAGGGAGATGTACTCTCTTTCAGGAGTACCTACTAATTAAAAAATCTACTGTGTAATTATGAATATTTGTATAAATGTATACTCATCTAGGAAAACAACAGGTTTCAAAAATGTACATATTTTCTCGACATCTTCATGTATTTTTGTTATATAAGGTGATAGCTTTCATTTTTTCTATGTAATAGATGATGTTATGTCATGTGACTTATATGTGTGCTTGCTTTTCCAAAGCAACTCCACTTGTTTGGCTTATAATAACTGGGTAGTTGTACTGTACAGTAAAGAGTTATCTGTGATGCGCATCAGTGGCAAAGTGCAATGCTTTTTTTGCAGATGTATTAAAACATATTGTGATTTTGCCAATTTGTCCTATCCGTGTGAATTTAGAAAGTATTTTAATTTATAAATCTTTTTTCACATTTTTTATGTTTTTTGTTCTATATAAAACATGTGAAATATTAATAAACCATATATCGAACAGCGGCATTCTTCCAAACCCACCCGACCACAAACAAACCCGAAACGTTCAAATTTGGCGCGCCTACGTCACGCACAACTGTCATTGCTTTGCGACATCACCGCGTATAGCACCGAGTGACTCACCCTGTATATACAGCCAGCGCGAAATTGGCGAAAGCCACAAACACTCTGTAGATCGCTAAAAGCACCACAATAATTAATTTCAGTCCTGAAACGTCAATTCGAAAAATTTGTCGCGTAGATGGCGCCACTGGGTACAGCAATCTGTAACACCAACACGTCATTTTCGTCGCTTTTTCCGGATTAAAAAATAACTAAAGACTGCATAGAGTCGGTTATTTGCGTTAATTTAGCGTTTCGGGGTTGAATTAGTCGATTTTTGGCTTAAATCGCCCGTCGGGGTAGATGGCGCCACTTGTCGATCCCCGATTTGGGTTGGCAACCGTGTGACGTAATGGCTGCGGAAGATGGTTTTTTAACGTCAATTTAGTTAAAGTTCATTGTAGTGTTTTCATCTCGCATTAGTTAAGTTTCCGAGTAATTTCCCACACTTAGCACCCATCACAATGTTGTGACCGCATTTTGCCGCCCATATGGTAGTTTCGAGTGTTTTTTTGTGAACAGCTGTCCCACTGGGACTACCCTAACAGAACTGCTAATGTGAGTATTTATAGAATATTTTGGCGATTCCGCCTAGTTTTAGGCTTGTTTGGGTCGCCGCACCCCGAATTGCGTCACTTTGGGCGGTTTTGGCCAGTTTTAGGGGGCTTGTCTCGGGGCTGTCGCCCCTCGACCCCGGAAGCAATCACCGCCATTTACACAAAAACTATCGATTGGACTGGAGGTCAATTGCTTCATCTAAATACAGAGTGATTTAAGGTCACCCAAACTTCCGTCTTTGCAGCAGATGTTTTGTGTACCCGAATTTATCTAACCCGTTTGGAATTGTGTATCGTGATGTTCTAGATTCCACAATAAATGCGCAAGTGGACTTTCACTGATTTGTGATTGGGGTGCTTTGTGTACCCGACTTTCTTCGGATTGAAATTGCGCTATCATGAATTATGCACAAACACAAACACGTGTGGAAGGAGATCATGGACGCGGTCCTTCAGCTGGGTAAAAATAAACCCTGATAATACCGATACGATGACGCAACCATCATTTACATACATACATCTGGCCCCAATCGGGGCCTAATTACCAATTAGCCGGGATCGCGAAAAGCTGCCCGAACGACGCTTGTTCGTAGCATTCCAATTAACGGTGTCACTTTCTAGCGACTGAATTTGGTTATTATGCGCTAATTGCTTCTATTAATTTTAACGAGGGCACGATGCATTGTCGAAATCGTGATTATTTCAGAGAAATTGGGAGTCGGAGCAGCTGATTAGAGGAAATCGCGCGCTTGTTATCTGGTCGACAATGAGAAAGGATGTGGATTAGTGAGGATTTGCCTTGATCAGATCTGATAATGGGAGGTTTAAGGCTAGATAAATTGTTTCGCGAGCGGGGCGACCTATCTGTGAACCCAAACACGATAATGACGTTTTTCGATGAGTAAACAATGATTCCGTGCGAAGGTCGCGTACGATCGACGAGTTTTTCATAAACGGATTTTCGGGTTTGAAAAAAGTCGTTAATTCTAAGCAAACACGCGGACGTCACGGAAAAGTTTCGAATGTTTGTTTGTTTGTCCTCAACGGATTTGTTTTTGGATAAGAGGTTGGTCCACTAGGAAGTAATTAATGGGGAATTAGTAGGCAAGAAGGAAACGGTTTTGTTGGTCAAGTTTGAACGTTGTGTTCATTCGGGGCTTGATATTTTTGTTTAGGTTATAGTCGGACCTTCCTCGGGCGACTCTTGACATACTTATTTCTGCTACAAAAGTTGAAAATCAGCGATGTTTGATATATAGTAAAGAAGGAACGTATTGTGTTGCCAACATATTTTTACTTCCCGAGCGTAAGCAAAGGAAGTATTGTAATCGAGTCCGTCGGCCGACTCTCTACTTTTACGTTTTCTCGATCTTTCATGACCCCTAGAAGACGAAGAAATAGGTCTCCCATTTCCGTCTGTCTGTCCGTCTGTCCGTCTGTCCGTCTGTCCGTCTGTCCGTCTGTCCGTCTGTTGTCACGGATTTTTATTAGACAGATAATCTCCGAAAGTACTCGACCGATTGTTGTGAAATTTTGTACTTATATTAAGAATATCATGTAGATGGTAAAACGCTAACCAAAATTTGTCTAATCATCCCCACCACTAATGCGATGACGTCAATTCAAAATTGTACATAGTAAATGGGTTTTCAATTGTATAAAATAACATAGTCCTACACATGTAGTTTACAACTCCGAATCGACTTTTCACCCGAAACGTCCAGATTTTTGGAAAAAAAATCAAAATTATAAAACAACATTTTGAAATTTAATTTTTAATCTGCTAACCAGAATGCTTTGAAATGTTGCAGATGTTTTAAGGCTATGAAGAGCATCATAAATCTTTAGTCAAAAAATATTTGCTTACCCCCTCCAAAAACTTGATGACGTCAGCTCAAAAGTTTGTGGAATAAATCATATCTAAAATGTACAAAATATGATGAGTCTGTACTTGTGATCTATCACTCCATTAATATTTTTTGGATTTGCATATACAGGGTGACTCAAAAAAATTAATGAATGCGTAAATATATTTTATTGATTTAATCAGGAACTACAAAACCGAATGCTCTGAAATCTTGCAGATGTTTTAAGGTCATAAAGAGCATAATAAATGTTTAGTCAAAATATATTTGCTTATCCCCTCCAAAAACTTGATGACGTCAGCTCGAAAGTTTGCCGAATAAATCATATCTAAAATGTACAAAATATGATGAGCCTGTACTTGTCATTTATCACTCCATTCATATTTTTTGGATTTGCATATACAGAGTGACTCAAAAAAATTAATGAATGCGTAAATTTATTTTATTGATTTAATCAGGAACTACAAAACCGAATGCTTTGAAATCTTGCAGATGTTTTAAGGTTATAAAGAGCATAATAAATTTTTAGTCAAAATATATTTGGTTATCTTCTACAAAAAACTGATGACGTCAGCTCAAAAGTTTTCCGAATAAATCATATCTAAAATGTACAAAATATGATGAGTCTGTACTTGTGATTTATCATTCCATTCATATTTTTGGATTTGCATATGCAGGGTGACTCAAAAAAATTAATGAAGGCGTGAATTTATTTTATCGATTTAATCAGGAATTACAAAACCGAATGCTTTGAAATCTTGGGAATATTTTAAAGTTATTATAAGCATGGTAAACTTTTGTTCAAAATGTATTTGTTCATCCCTCCTAAAAAAATTGATGACGTCACCCTTAAATTTTGCTGAATAAATCCTATCTAAAATGCAAAAAATATGATGAGTTTGTACTTGTGATTTATCATTCCATTCATATTTTTTAGATTTTCTTAAGAGGTGGTTCAAAAAAATTAAAGAAGTCAATTTATTTTATTGATTAAATTAAAGGCAACACTTATTATTAGTATTACACCCCAACCAACCCAATTTGGTAGACACAAAATTTGTTAAAGGAAAAACTCGGTTGAAACATAAGGGTAGCACGCTTATTTACATCGACTTTAACATTACAGACCTGCATTTGTTTTATGCGTTCACTTGATTCCGCGAATGTGAAATAGACATGTTTATAATCAACCAATTGTGAATTTCACCGTCAAGAATTAAAATAAAACCCAATGTTTTATATAATAAGCGGAAGTCGAAGCAATAAAACCGACGGTCGTTTTGTTTACAGTTTCTGTGTTTGGCTCTCACGTATGCTGTTACGCCTGTCATCTTAAATTAAGAATGTTTATACATACACGATTTTCAGTTGCCTCTGATACGTAGGTATACGTGAGTAAATTGTTTCGTTATTTTATTGATTATTACAAATCAATATTCAAACGACCCAATTCATTTTCCCGAAAATTTGAGAATATAATAATTTTATTCTTAGTATTACACTACATCTATCCCAACTGATATACGTGTCCTTGCAAAAATGTTGATGACGTCATCGCAATTTTTTTTTAAATTCCCACTACAAAAATGTAATGAGAAAAAAAACACAATAGGCATGCAGTCGTCAAGTTTCCGACAGCGAGGGAAGTACTGTCTAAACTCTTTAGACCAATTTTTTTTTTTATTAAATTGCAACGCTTGCTAGACGATTCGATCACATAACATATTAAGCTAATTTTTAATTTAACTTACTATGACACTCTGTATGATAATGTGCTCGCTGCGTTCACTCCCCAAACCAATTTCGTTTACCTAATTTACCTTCATGGAAATATCTATGGACACGTTTTTCAGTACAGTGAAACCTAAACGTGCTCGCTGCGCCCGCTGTATTTATGGGCGTAGAATTTACACATAAGTCGTTCAAAAAGTTGATAGTAATTAATGATAATTAATGGCCAAAAAAAGGAAATGATTTTAGTCCAGTTTAAATTTTGTGTTAATTCTGAGCTTGATGTTTTATCCAGAAATCGAAATATCGAAAAATCGTGGAATCGGAAAAACGAGAAATTGAAAAATCGGGGATTTAAAAAATCGTTACATCGAGAAGTCAAAAAAATCGAAATTCAAAAATCAAGAAACAAAAATCGAAAAAATGAGAAATTGAAAAATAAAAAAATTGAGAAATCGAAAATTTGAAAAATCGTTATATCGAGAAGTCGAAAAATTAAAAACAAACATGGAAAAAACGAGAAATTGAAGAATCGAAATATTGACAAATCCGAAAGTTGAAAAATGCAGAAATCGGGAAATCGAAACAGATCCAAAAATGGAGAAATTGAAAAATCGAGAAATGAAGAAAACATTGAGAAAAATCAAAGAATTGAAAAATTCGGAAATCAGGAAATCGAAAAATGGAAAATTCGAAAGGCTGGGAGATCGAAAGAGATCCAATCAAATTGTGGAAAAAATGTGAAATCGAAGTTCAAAAATCAAAAAACAAAAAGCGAGAAATTGAAATACCAAAAAATTGAGAATGTCGAAAAAATGTGAAATCAAAAAACATCGAAACATTGAGAAATTGAACAGTCTAAAAAATGAAAACTGCAAAAATCGAAAAATTCTGAAATCGGGAAATCGAAAGATATCCAAAAATGCGGAAATTGAAAAATTTAGAAATCAAAAAGTTGAAAAATCGAAAAACCGAGAAATTAAAACATTGAGAAATTAAAAACCCTGAAAATTGAAAACCACCAAGAATAAAAAAATTGAGAAATCGAAAATTTGAAAAATTGTTATATCGAGAAGTCAAAAAATCGAGACATTGAAAAATCGAAAAAATCGAAATATCGAAAAATTGTGAAATTGAAAAGTCGAAAACTTAAGACAGCGAATTTGAAAAGTTGAAATCGAAAAAACGAGAAATTGAAGAATCGAAACATTGAGAAACTGAAAAATCGAAAAATGAAAAAAAATATTGAGAAATTAAAAAATCAAAAAATTGAAAAATTCAGAAATCGGGAAATTGATAAAACGAGATGTCGAAAAAATGTGAAATCGAAGTTCAAAAATCAAAAAACAAAAAGCGAGAAACTGAAAAACCAAAAAATTGAGAAATCGAAAAAATCGGAATGTCG